TCCTCCCAGGTTCTGCAGCCTTTAAAATCCTGGGCTGCCTCTGCTTCTTCTTGCTTCTCCCACTTGCTTCTCCTCCCTCCTTGCCAAAGGCCAATGCCCCCTCCACTATATCCATGGCTATGTCACTTGAGGAGGACATGACCACTTCTGGCAGGCTCAGCATCAAAGTGTCTAAAATGGCTGACAGGGTGGTGGGCTGGCTGAGCTCCAAAATGGCTGAATGGCTGAATGGCTGGCCTATAGAAAATCTGGATAGATTTTGCATTGAAGGACTGCCTTGAGTTGATACTTTTTTTCTTTTACAGTTTTGTCTGGCAGTATGTAAAAGCCTATTTAATTGGCTACTACTTTCCCACTCCCTTATAAAATGATACTGTCTTGCCAGTACCACCTGTCAGGGAAGCATGATGATTCATGAGCCCAAGAAACTAAGCAAAAGCAATGCATTGCATTTGCAATGTCATTCGATATGTGAATGACTATAGTAAGTGGTGTTCGGTAGTCTACTAATAGTGCCAATACATTTTCATGCGATTGGCAGTGTTCGTGCATTTGACAGTTCGGGAGTTAGTTTGGGAGTTTAAGGTGTAAATAGATTAGAACATTGTTCAATGCCATGTGTTGTGAGATCAATGTACGAAAATGTAAACAAATGAATGGTTTTACTGCATTCACTTGAGGCTATTCGTTATTTAGGGATTAGGGAACTGACTTTTATGATTGCATTGGATTTGCAATGCCATTCAACATACGAATGAGTATAGTGAGTGGTGTTCGGTAGTTTACTAATAGAGCCAATACATTTTAATGCGATTGGCAGCGTTCATGCATTTTACGGTTCGGGAGTTATTTCGGGAGTTTTAGGCGTAAATGAAACAAAATACAGCATTCAAAGCCATGTTGTTAGATCAATGTACAAAATTTGAAACAAATGGTTTTACTGAGTTCAGTTGAAGCTATTCAGTATTTATGGATTAGGGAACATAGTTTTATGTATTCAATTCATTTGGTTAAATCCTGCAGAATGAACAAACGAGTTTAGCCGAAACGAAAATACTAATGAATATCGTACGAAAACGAATGGAAGAATTGACGAATTTTGGTTCTGACTAAACTAATTTCTTTTTCGTCCGAAACGAAAATTTCTGAAGTGCCCAAGTCTAAATTATATGATGAAAATAAATAATAAAACAGAATAATAAAACAGAATAAAATATGTGTGGGTACAGTAAATGAGTAAGAGGAAAATTACAGCTAAACACAAACACTACTGAAAATTGAAAAACGGTCTGGTCACTAAGGAGTTGATCTGCATTTTCCATGCATTTTTGTCTTTATGGTAGAACCACTGCTGAGAAATGCATGTTCTGGGAGTGCCTCCAATTCCTCTTTTTTTAATCCCCAATTGATGGTATGGTCCATCCACTCTGTGTGGAAAGGTGTCCTTAAATCCCTACTTATCCCCTTTTAATTAAATTAATTCTACATATTCCTCCCTACTCCCCTCACCACAATTATAGTTAGGGGGTATTAACTAATACCTGAAGGTTAAATAAATCATGCTTACCACTAAAATTATTGTTCTGATAAATCTGCTTATCTTCAGCCCCTTATCCTTGTGTCCAAATCCATGTTGAACCCAGGTAAGTGCTTAGTAAGAAATACCTTAACCATGAGGGAAGATCCTTATAGAGTTATCCTTTTAACCAGTCCATTTTGTCACCATCAATTCTGTTTGATCGGGTCAAAGTATCAGAGGGATAATAAAAATAATGAAAGAAAATATAGTCCTTGTTTTTTAGTCTGTATAATTAGGTAAAGCAATCTGAAGAGGAGGAGTTGAAGCTTATCAGGAGTCGATTTTTAGGAACATAAAGGAAAATCAGAATGATGTTAGTAAGGACATGGATTCAGTTGTGTTGCCATGAAGGGGATAAAAAGAAAATATTAAGAGATTTAGTGATGAGGATAGTAATAATCAAGCACTGGCTTAATGCATTGATTTTGTATATATAGGAAAGAGATGGACTTATTTGTTAAAGAAACATCACCTGACATCATAAAAATGAGAATAGGATTGAAGGATAGGAACGTGATACTGCCTGTCTTGGTAATAACTAGCATGGTGTTTCTGCCCCCAAATATAAAAGAGCCAATTTCTGTTGAACTTGACTCTTTGATAAACTGGTACAATTGTGATATGCACAAGTTGAAGTACTTTACTTAAAGTAAAGCACTTTGGATATTTGTGATCCTGTGAATTTTATTAAGGGTAAGGGAAACCCTACATCACCAAGTGAAAGGAGCACTCGATAAGGGGCAATAGGATTGAAGATCCTAAGTCCATACTATACAGCAGGTTACCCTTGAATAATAGACATGTTTATATATTTTAGCCTGCATCTCATGATCCATATAATTTATTATTTTGTCTTTAATTTGATTTTGTCTAAAAAAGTATAATAGATATCCATTTTGTGCTAATATTTATAAGTCATTCAAATGTTTATAGTTAGCTTAGTTGAATGTTATTCAACATATGTATAATTTATTAGATGCTGAACAGTGTTGCTTTTTAATTGTTTTCTCTATCTAATCTCACTTTTATTAGGTAAGATGTATGGCCATACATGCAGTATAGATTGTTATTGTGGATGATGAACTTGACCTCTTATAATTTTCTAAGGTCATTTCTAATGATTTGAGAAATATAAACCAAGATGGCTCACCCATTTACATGCCAGCACTTCTATTATATCTTAAAAGGCAGTCTCTTATCACTGTTACACATTACATAATTGTCCAGAAAAATAGTGCAGTTCCTAATGGGGAGAGTTCTGGTACACTTGCTCTATCTGCAAGAAATTCATTTCACATAAACACAGAAAAGACTTTCTGATGTTTCTATATCATAGCTCCATGCAAGATATAATTGTTTCTTACTACTTCACAAATCTTTTCCAGCACTTGTGTTTCAAAATTAATTCAGCATAGGTTTAATTATACATTGCAAAGGTTTTGATTTAAATCATGTCACCATTACTAGGTGCTTCTGCTCATATATCTACAAGTCAGTTTAAAAAAAACTCTATACTCAAGGCAACTCATTTTGTACTTAAGTTACTACTTGCTTGGAATCTGGAGCACAAGATACATCTCATAGGAATTATTCCTCGTTTCTAACACCGTACATGTCATATTCTACAAACATACTCCACTTAATTAACACGAATACTTTACAAAGTGTCAAAATATTGGCCTAATAACCTGGTTACACAATGCTCTCATTGCTACAAAACTGTTGTTATGTGAGCAATTTCTATGAAGAAATGTATGGAGCTTGAAAGAGACATACCTGAAGTACCAATTTAGTGTAATAAATTACAGACTACATGTTGTTTGTTTTTATGCTAGTTTCCAGGTAGCAATTAAAAAAATTATATCTCTCTAAAATCATATTCTCTCATCTCCATAACTGAAGCAGTGTTTTTTTAGTTTTTTTTTTTGGCCAGGTTCTCTCTTAAAACATGCTACACATGAAACATAACATAAGAAATATTGCATAATATTCTTCATTGAAACCCAATAACCAATTTATCACGCTAAATGCAATAATGTTGAAAGTATAAAAGTAGAAAGCATCTTCACCAACAGGGTTATTCAATAAATTGGAAACAGACAGAAATTCAAAGTTAATTAAAAGTAGCCACACTGGAAGCATAGCTGATTTCGACTATGTTTCCAGTTTTGTTAGATTGGCCTTTAATTCACTTTGAATTCCAAACAATTCTCACTTTAGCGAATTACTCTGCAAGCCTCATGATGGTAAACCAGGAGTGAGATGTAAATCAAGCCCAATTGATGTATTCATTGTAATTTAAATATAATATATTTTTACATAAAGATGTTGTAAGCAGCATGCAAACTTTTTGAATTTTTTGCCTGACGGCACGTCCTTCTAATGTCTACAATGTCTATAAAAAATGAGATTTTACCACCAGCTGGACTTTAAACACTAACTGTAATAAACATCTCACTTAAACATAATATTATTTTTACATTTCCTTACAAAACTCTATCTACCCTTAGAGAGAGAGAGAGAGAGAGAGAGAGAGAGAGAGAGAGAGAGAGTGTGTGTGTACACACACACACACACACACACCTAGGTACATATGTGTATTTTGCATGGGACAATTTGATGGGTTTTTTTTTAATAAGAACCAAACATTGGGTGCTATTTTTTTCCTTTTTGTGTTTTGTACATGTAATGTTCTACAAGAATAAAAAAACAGGTATTTACAGTCAGGGCCGGCGCTTCCTATAAGGCGAACTAGGCAGCCGCCTAGGGCGCCATATAGGAGGGGGCGCCCTGCGCCCCCATCGCCGGCCCTTTAAATTCTGCAGCCGCCTGAGCGCTCTATAGAGAGCGCTCAGGCGGCTGCCGCAGTGCCTCACCCAGTGTGCACTTCCTGTCAGTCCCGCCGGGTCGCGGGACCGGAAAGGAGCTCGGCCACGCTACAGGGCAGGGGAGGTGAGGTGAGGAGATGCTGGGGGGAGATCATTTGATGGGATGGAGGGAGGGAGAGACCATTTGATGGGAGGGGGGAGATGATTTGATTGCAGGGAGGGGGGGGGTGAGACCCATTTTGATTGGAGTGGGAGGGGAGGGAGGGGAGAGATCATTTGGGATTGCAGGAGGGAGGGAGGGGGGGAGATAATTTGATTGCAGGGAGGGAGGGGGGGGTGAGACCATTTGATTGGAGGGAGGGAGGGGGGGAGATAATTTGATTGCAGGGGGGGATCATTTGATGGGATGGGCTCTTTCACACCACGCGCGCACACACACACACACACACACACAATGCATCCCTATACACACAGAAACACAACATGCTTCCCTTACACACAGAGAAACACACAATGCAACCCTTACACATAAAGACAATGCAACCTTTGCACATATACACAGAAACACACAATGCATCCCTTACACACACATGCAAACACACACTGCTTCTCTTACACACACACACACAGAAACACAATGCATCTTACACACACACTCAACGCACCCCTTACAGACACACACACTGCATCCCTTACATACAAAGAAACACACTTTGCATCCCTTATGCACACAAACACAGATTCACACAATGCATCCCTTACACACAACAAGAAACACACAATACATCCCTTATACACACACACACTGCTTCCACTACACACAAACACACTGCATCACCTACACAAACTGGTATCCCATACACCACATTCGACAGCACCATCACTCACACAGCACCCTCAGACACACAGACAGCACCATCACTCACACAGCACCATCACTCACACAGCACCCTCACTCACACACAGCACAGTCAGACGCACACAGCACCCTCAGACACACAAAGCACTCTCACTCACACAGACAGCACCATCACTCACACAGCACCATCACGCACACAGCACCCTAAGACGCACACCACACCCTCACTCACCACAGCAAACTCCCACACATATACAGCACACACAGACACACACACACACATATATATATATATATATATATATATATATATATATTCTATAAAATAACCCTCACTGAGTGAGTTAACAAAGTGAGTTAACAAAGGAAATTAGAAACCTAGAATGTGACGGCAGATAAAAACACCCTCACACACAGCACCCATCTTACACACACACACACACTGCACCCCTCACACATACAATAGTCCAAATATATATATGTTATATATATAGATCACTGCAGCTGTAAGGTATGGACTGAGATGGAGAAGATATTCATCCAGATTTCTTTCATTTTGTTACTAGATTATTACTTTACTATAATGATACTACCATTGCTACATATAGTTTACTACTGTAATATTTTGTACTTGATGTTACATGTAGTTATTAATAATCTGGCTGATAGAATTTTGGTTGCCAAATACTTACTTGTTTATAGCAAATGGCTAGCACTCCCAGCTCTAAATGCCCTTTAAGTAACTGTTTTATCTCTCTTCCATAGCCCCAAGTCACCATACATCCCTGCAAGAAGGCCTTTTAATTTTGCTCGGCTCTGCCCACCCTGGTTCCTTCTAACTATATAGCATGCTCTTCCAGCTGTTTGGAACCATAGATATTCATCTCCTCATTCCATTCACATCTCATCAGCTGCTGCAGTTATTCTATTAACTCTGCTATCACATACAAATCCCTCTGCTACCTCTTGTCTCATCTCCCCAGTTAAACCTTTAGATTGTAAGCTCATGGGCAGGGTCCTCTACCTGTTGTATCGGTCTGTTATTATTGTGTATGTCTTTTTCCCAATTGTACAGCACTGCAGAATTTGTTGGCGCTTTATAAATGCCAGTAAATAATAAAATAATAAATATATGTATATATACACACACACTACAGCACCCCTCACACTGCACCACTACACACATTATGCTCCAGATACACGCTAGATCCCTTACCCTATATACACTCTTAATCCTCTACACACACACACACAATCTCCTATACACACTCTGGGTCCTTTACACACTAGATCTCCTACACACACACTGCACCACATACACACTCTACATTCCATGTAAGCAAACACATACTACATTCTCTAAACACACCCTCTCTACAACCCCACAAGCAGGCTCCAAACACATGCACCATATGCTTTCCTGGCCCTTTTGTCCTCTGGTATCCCACTTGTGGAGACACCAGAGACAATTTAAAAGCAAACACAGTGCAAGCATGTTATTAAATATGCTTGAGCTGCGCAGAATAAATACAGGGCCTTTTTCTAATGCTAGAGCTCTTCAGCTGGGCTTTGTGCATTGAACCAACATGCTCACTTTGAGAGGGGGTGTGCTTGTCATTAGTGATGACAAAACACACCCTCTCTGGCCCGCCCCCTTCTTAGGGGGGCGCTGTGATTGAAAAATGCCCGGGCCGTATTTTTTCCCAGTCCGGCCATGAAGGGGGGTGAATACTTTTGCAAGGCACTGTAAATAAATAAACAATTATTTAAACATATCACCTCCTGAACTGTGGTGGATTGAGTTCTAGTGGCACAGCCTTTTTGCACATTTGTTGATGCTTTAAACTGTGTGAGTGTGATTTAATTTATTATCCATGTTTTAATAAATGTTTTATTGCACTATGAATACTTGGACAAATTCAGAGTTCTCACAGATCTTATTAAATGTGTACAAACTGCTTTATTGAAAATGAACAGAAGTTCAAACAGCACATTGTGCGTATTTTATATATAATTAGACGTTGGATAAACCAAGAATATTAACTATTAACTATTATTCATGAGCAATTATATTTATTTTATTGCTTTATGTAGATGTTACAAGCTGTTCAATCAGTTTGCAGAGTCTGGTGGAATGCAACAAAAGCAGATTTTCTTTTTCTGTATTACATATATGCCCTATACATTGTAAAAGAAAGAAAGTCATGACATTGAGGATCACATGCAGGGCCGCCATCAGGGCATGACAACCGCAACGGTTGTCATGGGCCCGGCGGTCCTGGGGGGCCCGTCCGGGCCCCACATTCAGTGGGTAGATACCGGGGTTGCAGGGGGTCCTGCGACCCCGGTATGTACCCACAGGGCCAGCCTCTTCTCCTGGGGGGCCCAGCAGCCGGTCACCTCAGGGCCCCCCAGAGGCTGGCCCTGACAGCCGGCCGGCGCGCGAGGGAGCACTCTCTGTGTGCTTCCTCTTCAGCTCCCTCGCGCACCGAGTACTGATGCCGGAACCGGAGCATGACGTCATCTTCCGGCTCCGGCATCAGTATGCGGCGCGCGAGGGAGCTGAAGAGGAAGCAGCAGAGGAGAGTGCTCCCTCGCGCGCCCGCCCGGTGACTGCAGGGAGAAAATTTGAGTGAGTGGGGGTGGGGGAGAGGGAGGGAAGAAAATTGAGTGGGGGGAG